TATATATATATATATATATATATATATATATATATATGTATGTATATATATGTATATGTGTGTGTGGACACGGTTGACATTTATTTTTCTTTATAAAATGTGTAACGGTTATTTAAAAGTCATCAATTAATAATGAATTTTTTCTGCAAAATTCATTTGGTTACATAAATTCAGATCTATAATTCATATTGTTCAATCTTTTTATTAATTTAATTTGTATTAATCAAAGTATTATATCAGTGACAAATATATTTTTTAATACGCTCTTTTCTGAAATTTTACATTCATAATCTAAACTCATCAACTTTTACACACATAATTACTTTATCCTTTACCAACTAATTTATAAGCTAACAATTTATTCGATATCATTTTTTTATTAACCTGGATATCCAACCTGTTATGTGAGCCGACTAATCCCAGGGCGACCACATGCTTTGCAGATAGCCCAGAGTCACTGCATTTGAACCTCCGTGGCCACAAAGTGATTTTTATTCCTCCTTAAATTTGAACATGTGACCTCCTGGTACTTTTGACCTTTAGAGTAAAGCTCAAACCAATCAGGCACCATCCTTAGGTAGCGTTTGGTACGCAGACATAATTGGACATGACTGAACTGGACAAGACAGGACAAGGCAGAACAAGATGGTAGGACTGAACGGGACAGGACTGAACATAACAGAAGTATGTCTGGTGTTGGTACAACTTGGACTGGACGTGACAGAACTAGACAAGCTACCCCTAGAAGTTATTTGATGATTTTAAATATTATATAATAGTTATAATTAACACAAATAAAGTAAATAATTAAAGAATAAATATTTGTACATAATTTTCATATATGTACCAAATTTGAATGAAGAAATTGATATAATTGATGGTAGTAGTGGTGATGGTGGAGGTGGTTTTGGTTATGGTGGAGGTGGTGGTGGCCGACAGTAGTAGTGGCAACGGGTGGTGGTGGTCGGTGGTCGACAGTGGTTATGGAGGTAGAGGCAATGGTGCTTGGTGGACGACGGTGGTTATAGAAGACATGAAGATGGTAGATTGTGGTGGTGGTGGCGATTGACAACGGTGGAGAAGGTAGTTGTGGTTGATATATTGAAGATAGTGGTGGTGGTGGTTATGGTGGTGGTGGTGGTTATGGTGGAGGTGAGGTGGCAATGAATGGTGGTGGCGATGGTGATTATGGAGGTGGTGGAGGAGGTTGTTGCAGTAGAGGAGGAGTTGAAGGTGGCGAACGGTGGTAGTGGTTGTGGCAATGGAAGGTGGTTGGTGGTCGACTATGGTAGAGGTGGCAATGGACTTGGTGGACGGTGGTGTGGAGGCGATGGAGGATGTTGTTGTAGTGGAAGAGGAGGTGGAGGTGGCCGTCGGTGACCGCCGGTAGTGGTGTCTGCGGCCGAAACTAGCGGTGATAACCATTAAAACAAATACCCTATTAAGGTTATATATCAAACTATGGTATATTAGTAATATTTTATTTTATGTCTCATTCTTGTCCCATCTTGTTCCACCTATTTTGGTGGAACAAGAAAAAACCTCTTTTGTCCCATGTTGTCCCACCTTGTTCCAGTTTTTGTCCCTGATCTATGTCGCGCCAAACGTGGGACAGTGAATTCTTGTTCTGTCCCATGCTGCGCCAAATATGGGACATCGGGTTTGTCCCGTCCCATACTGTTGTCTCATGTACCAAATGCAGCCTTAAGGTTAAATATATCATTTATATAAAAATAATAATAATAATAATAATAATACTTGGTCAAAATATAAAACATAAAAAGGCAATAATTTTGGGTAGACTTTTGACCTGATTTGCAGGTTCATCTTTGAATTCCTTCGTCACCATAACACCATTCATCTTCGTAGGTTTTCCAAGAAAACAGAGCTTCATCCATGGCGGAAAACCTTATATATGTTTCTTCTGCAAACTCCATCCATTCTTCAAACAGTAATCAAACCCTTGATATATCAATCAATGATGGAGAAACCTTGCTCCTTCTCCTTCATCTTCTTCACCACGTTTCTCTGCATCATCATATCAGTTGCCGAGAGTTGCACCTTCACGCAAGGGTATTCCGTCATCGTCATCAATGACAATATCAATGAAAAAGTGCAGGTTCACTGTAAATCGAAAGACAACGATATCGGTTTGAAATCAATCGGACTTAAAGAATCCGTCGCCTGGAGTTTCTGTGACAACATAAATTTTCCAAGCACTCTTTTCTACTGCAATTTTCAGTTGGGTAAAAAACATCAAGTTTTCGATGTGTACAATCGCGACGTCGGACGTAGTTGTAAAAAGGGACCGAAAGGTGACCGTAGGCTATGCAGGTGGTACATTAGGCACGACGGGTTTTACATGATCGGGATGGAGGGGAGCCAGGATGTTAAAAAGTATGATTGGAAGGTGGGTCAAGCACGTTCGAATTCCACTTATAAGGGTTCGAAACGCCGCGAGCCGTAAATTGTAACGAAAACCGTTATAATCGGATTCTTTCGTTGATGCTAATAACTTCGTGATTGATTCGTCGATATGGGTTCGATGGCTCGTTTCTTGTTGGTAATAAGGATCCACATAGATTCACACAAAGACTCCGTCGATGCCTTCGAGTTCGGGAGTTCAAATCCGGGTGCCGCTCATCAACAAACGAAACAAAAATAGACTAGCGAGAATCTTCTTAGGGTTCGGGGATTGAATCACTGTTAGATTGAGATTGAATGGATAATTTACTTTTTATATAGAAAAAGTATAGAAAAAGGTGAAAAAAATCAATTTTCCCCTTCTCAAAAGTATAATATATAAAGGGGGAGTGCTAATGGCACCCCTTTAGTAGGGGTGTGGAATCATTGGAAATTGTGCCGTCATAAACATCAAATCAATTTAATTATATTTAATTATTATTATTTAATATATATATATATATATATGGTTTATTTCAAATACAACCTATCGCATTTGTACAAGCAATACAACCCAATAAATTGAAATATTTATGGAAATGATTAGAGTTCATTTATTATGATTTAAATATTTATGGAAGATGAATACGGTTCATTAATTATGATTAATACTTTATATTAGTAAATAATCAAAACCTCTATAAAATCACATATTAATAAAATGAAATGGACGGTTGAGATTGAGTTATATTGGTTGCACAAATGACAAGGGTTGTATAATAACCAACCTCTATATATATATATATATATTAAGTTATAATTATATATATATATATATACTTTCCATCGTATACTTTAATATATTATATAATACTAGTTGTCTATCCGCGCAATGCGGCGGGATGTAAAAAGTTCATTAAGGGTGCATTTGGTATGCAGATTACATGGAACAAGACGGGTAAAAAAAACAGTACCTTATGGATTTAAAGTTGTATTTAAGACTTTTATGAAATAAAACACCACCGCAAACTACCATTGAAACAAGAGCACTTGAGCGGCCAAGCTTTTCACTAAAAAGCCATGTCCAGAGATAAAAACACACYGTCTGAAAAAGGTCCCTCTCTCTGTCTCCATCTCCATCTCCATCTCCATCTCTTTCCTGAAAAAGGTTTACTTTTAGAAATAAATTTCAAAAGATTTCAGAAAATTAGCATCAAATATGAATCAGATTACCAGAAAAATGTGGGGATTAGACCTCAAGAAAACCATCMTCTGGCGTGTATCTCTTCTCCGGCGATGTGCTCGRTCTCTATGGCACCAAATTCTTGCTTGTTGGATCGGAAAATCTATCTGCTACCGTCATTTATTGCATTCCGGTTCCGGCCCTTTGATTCCGACTTCTCATCGTCGTCCTCGTCGGCCGGAAAGGACAACGACGGCGATGGATGTTGCCACCGTGTACCACCAGTTTCCATCGGTAGAAATGACAGCCTCTAGCGGCGATGGATTGGCTTCCGGCGAAATGACGTCATCCTGCGGCGGCTCTGATCATGATAAAGAGGTTTCCGATTTGGTGGCTTTGAAGATCAGCTTGTTGGGTGATCAATACATCGGCAAAACAAACTTCTTGGTAATTATATATATCATATATTCATATGCTTTTTGTGGGAAAAGCTTTGTTTTGGTCAGATTATGTTTTCAAGAAATCTTGAAAATAAAGTAGTTTTTTTTAATTGGATTTCTTCAATTCATTTTCTGGGGAATACCAAAAACAGAAGACATATTTTTGCCATTTCCATTGGGGCTTTCTTGAAATCTGGTTTAGGGAGAGCATGCGCATGGGGAAGAGGAAGAGTGCTCCTGGGGAAGAGGAAGAGTGCTCATGGGGAAGAGGATTTTGAGGAGGGGAGGGTGTAAAGGAATTTTGGAAGAGTGGAGGCGTGGAAGGGTATTTTGGGTATTACAAAACTTAAGACTTTAAGATTTTGGGGCTTTCTGCTTTATAAAGTAGTATAGATTTTTTATTTATATTATTATTATAATTTTTTATCTTCACTTTTATATATATATA